GTTCAAGCTGACCACGCAATACAGTCGGCGAGAATGTTGACGAAACGTTTTCGCTCCTTGTGTCTTCCATATAACTCTCTCCCAAATTACGTTGTTTCCACACCCCAACATTACCTGTGAAAAACCACACTGACGTTACCCTAACCCACCCACATTACCAGATATAGTATGTGTGCATCGGCGAAGGATATAACCTGGCGGACATTATACTGCCTGCACTACTCTACACAACCGAGACTGGCCCCTTCTTGCACGTCTCTGTGTCAACACTAGGGTGAGACTAGCGAAACGCTTCTCATGCTATCGCCATGTATTCGGGCAATTCTACGGGATTTGTTAGGCTAATGCTTTGTATACTCGTATTTCACCATTGTTCCAGAATCCCTATTCTGTTTGTTGATAGACACTAGGTCAGCACAAACAGAAACTGCGATTCGCTGCATGTATTCAAACGTGTGCTATCTTTGTTTACAGATCGGATGACACAAATGGATTTGGGACACGAATATCGAAACTTGGTGCTCTGCAAAATCATGGAAGCGGTAGTTGCCGAAGCGCTGACGAACTTCTTGGAAGAACGCAATATCATAGCACAAGAACAACATGGATTTCGCAAGAACCGAGCTTGCACTTCAAACTTATTACTTTCTAGATCCAGTTGGACTGAGACCGTTGACAGCGGCGTAGGTGTTGACGCTGTATATCTGGACTTCCTAAAGGATTTCGACCGTCTGAACCACCGTATTCTCCTTGTGCTCACCAACGAGGAACTAATGATTGACACCGTTACCATAGCTACACCACTAGGTCGTAGTGATCACGCGACGTTGCACTTTCGTTACATCTGTTATTCGGAGTACGTTAGAGAGAACGACGAGGAAACTTATATGGTTACACATTACGACATCTTGTCTAACCTTGTTCAAGACACCAACTGGTCCTTCCTGACCGAGAATCCGCCCGATGAGCCTTGGAAGGTGTTTGTCACCAAATTCACTGAGCTAGTGGCAAATGCATCAGAACGCAAGGCCTTTCGCCCGAAGCAAGTGGATTCGTTCCTAAGAAGCCGTACGAGAAAATCTATGGCCTTAAGGGATTCGGCCTGGCACGCTTACAAAGTTTGCCCAAGTAATCTGACCTGGGGAGTCTACACAACTCAACGAAACCACTGCGTCAAGTTGATTCGCGAAGACAAACTCCAGCACCAACAGAACTTGGCGGCGAAATTCAGCAAAAATCCAAAGCTGTTGTATAGACATCTCAACAAACTCCGTAGAGTGCAGCGCGGGATCCCGGTCTTGCATGCAACAGATGGTCATGCGCAAACTGCACAGGACGCGGCCAACGTGTTTCGTCAACACTTCCTCCATACTTTCCGGTGTGAACCATCCCTTCACCCGATTTTGACAGAGCTCTCACCGTTCCCAGGTTTACACAACGTATCGTTCACGGCAACCAGTGTGTTGAAAACGCTAATGTCGTTGCTTGTGCACAGCTCGCCAGGCGTAGACGATATTAAACCGAAGGCGTTGAAGGCAGCGGCCCTAAACATTGCCGAACCATTAGCTCGGTTCTTTCAACGTTGTCTTGACGAAATGCTGATTCCCACAATGTGGAAACATGGGCTAGTCACTCCCATTTACAAAAGCGGTAATCGTGCGGAGCCGTCGAACTACCGTCCAATCACTCTCCTCCCAGTTTTATCCAAAGTAATGGAACGTATAATTGCGGAGGCGCTGATGAGATATCTGGAGAACAACAATATCATGGTGCCACAGCAACACGGATTCCGCCGAAATCGATCCTGCACTACAAACTTGCTGCTGGCCCGAGCAAGCTGGACGGAGTCAGCTGATGCTAGATTTGGAGTCGACGTTGTCTACCTGGACTTCTCGAAGGCGTTCGATCGTTTGGACCACCGCATCCTCCTACACAAGCTTCGAGGCTACGGAATCGGTGATCATGTGCTTGGTTGGATCGCCAACTTTCTCACTCAACGTCAGCTGAATGTGAGAGTCCGCAGCTTCATGTCCGACCCAATTGACGTCCAGTGCAGTGTGCCACAAGGGTCAGTACTGGGGCCACGTTTATTTTTATCATTCATTAACGACCTTGCCAGTGTACTACAGTCGAACTTCTTGCTGTTTGCAGATGATGTCAAAATTTGGCATGACATCCGGACAGAAGACGATCACACAACACTGCAGAGCGATCTGGACAGGGCGTACACTTGGTCATCCGAAAACATGCTCCACTTCAATGTCGCCAAGTGCAAAGTCGTGAGCTTACGCCACCAGCTCATCCATGAATACTTACTCGGTGACCAGCCATTGTAACATGCTTCCCAGGAATGCGACCTCGGAGTGATCGTGCAGGACGACCTTGGCTGCTCCAGACAAGCTGAAAAGGCATCGAAAAGGGCCAGTCAACATCTCGGACTCTTACGGAGGGCTTTCGGAAATTTCGAGCCATCTGTATTTCCGCAAATACTGAGCGCTTACGTGAGACCCCACGTGGAGTATGCGATCCAGGCCTGGCGTCCCTGGCGCAAGCGCGACATCAGTGCACTTGAAGCTCCACAGCGTAGAGCAACGAAGCTCGTCAGAGGCCTGTTTCACATCCCCTACCAACGCAGACTGCAGTCTCTGGGATTGTACAGTGGTGAATATCGTCGTCACCGAGGAGACCTCATCATGTTCTACTTAATACTGATGAATCCAAATCACCCATGTCGCAGTCTCTTGCAGCTGAGCCAAAATACCAACCTGAGAGGTCATCAGCTCAAACTGGCTACACACTACAGCCGACTTGATTGTCGACGAAACTCTTTCTCACTCCGTGTGTCCCGTGCTTGGAATGCGCTCCCCACTCACGTCGTCCTTGCCCCCACATTGGCACTATTTAAAAAAAGCCTAAATGACACCCTTTCCAACTTGCATTATTTGGCATAGCACGTCCTATCCGGAGGACGAAATAACGAGACCCAAACCATGAGGTTACTGACCCTCCCCACAAAGTGGCGGTGATGTTACATACAGAAGTGTCCCGATGAGCGACATGGATGTATACAAACTGGAGTAACGTACCACATCTCTCAACGGAAGCAACACACGAGTAAGCGTTATCCGTTCCTTTGATTTCTTTTTCCCACATTTGCTGTAATATAACAGCTCTACTTTGGGTGCAGACATCCAGTCCATACTTCAAACTATCATTATGAAGTGGTGCGTTGAAATCTGTAGAGGCTTAAAAAACGATTTACTTGTTCGATTATCCTTCCATTTTATCTATTGCTCCAACCACCCTACGGGACCTGTCAAGCATATGCTTTTTTACCCGTTATAAATCATTGTTCATTGTTCACAAGTTGCAGTGTTGTGGAATTGGTAACCCAATCCTCGGTTGGATAGGTAACTTCTTGCTTCAGCGACATCTGAATCTAAGAGTTCGCGGCGTCATCTCTGACCCAATCGACGTTAAGTGCGGAGTGCCCCAGGGCTCAATACTTGGTCCACGACTATTCCTCATTTACATAAACCATCTCGCGACAGTAATCACCTCCAACTCCTTACTCTTCGCTAATGATCTCAAGATATGGCGAGCAAGTAGAATAACGAGTGACAATGCTGCACTTCAGGAAGATGTTGACAGGGTCTGCGAATGGTCGACTCAGAAGCTGCTTCAGTTCAACGCTACAAATTGCAAGGTGTTGAGCATACGCCATAAAAGTACTTGCGAATACAGACTGGGGGATCACATATTGCAGCGCACTTCAACGGAATACGATCTAGGCGTGATAGTGCAGGAAGATCTGAGCTGTTCCCATCAGGCCGAGAAATCCTCCAGAAAGCTAACCAACACCTTGGCCTTTTGCGGAGGGCATTCGGGCGCTTCGATCCTCCCATCTTTTCTCCGATGCTCAACGCCTACATTCGGCCTCATTCTGAGTACGCCATCCACGCCTGGCAGTCATGGCAAAAGCAAGGCCTTACCGCTCTTGAACTGCCATAACGAAGGGCGACCAAGAACGTAAAGGGCCTGTTTCATCACCCTTACCGATTGAGGCTGGAAACCCTCGATGTCTACAGTGGACAATATCGACGCCTGCGTGGCGACTTGATAATGACTTATATGTTCCTGAGGATTCCAAAACATTCTTGCCGTCACCTACTAAAGCTGAATAGCCATACCACACTCAGAGGACACCAGCTAAAGCTGGACACACAATACAGCCTTTTGGCATTACGCCGGAATTTCTTTTCCCTTCTTGTGTGTCAACACTTACGTTGTTTCTTCCCCCACGATAACGGTATTCAAAAGACGTCTGGAGGATTCGCTTATCCACTTACATTACGCTATATAATCAGAGATGTCTACGTCAACCAAACGCGAACAAACGGTGCTCATTCTCAGCTTCTGTGCTTCACTACTTACACACTGCTGTTGTGGGATATAGTTTCGGATATATTACAACTGCATTCACCGATTACCTCAGTCCAAGAAAGCAATGCACGAGTAAGCGTTGTCGTTTCTTTTGTTCTTAAGACGTACCTTCCCCATATTTCTTCCCATATTACTCTACAGCAACAATTCAGTACATATTCCAAAATGTTCGTAAGAATAAGGAGCACCTGAATCTCAAGACTCTTAAATTGACGATTTACACTTATGTTTACTTTCACTTCAACCATCCTACGGGACTTGTAAAGCAATCGCTTTTTTACCTGTAATGTGTCATTGTTCATTATTTATTGTTCCCTGAAGTTAACTGGGATACCGTATTCAAAGCCGAAGGGTTAATGCAACCGATCTTTACGTGCTTGCTAAACTTGGTGCAAGGTCTTTGCGATGGAACCGACCATTCGATTCCCGTGGAGTTGATTTCTCATCGCTATCCTGAATGTGTACTCAGCTATATCGATCTCCTCGGTTTACAATCGTCGGCATCAACAGATAAATGCTTCCCTGAGCTTCGATCGCCTCTCTCTTCGTTTCTGATTGGGGGATCGTAAAGGCCGCTTGTTGGCGCTCTTATGAAATATTGGCGCTCTTTTCAAAGGTGCGCGTTGTGGTTCGAAGCATAACTCATGGACCCGGCGTGTCATGGTGGGAACGTTTATTGCTTGATAATGCGTGGTCGCTTTTCGCTACCAAATGGGCGAATTTATTCACACTGGCTTTCCTATCCTGTGCGCTCACCTACAGGTAACATGCTCCAAATCCGATTTGTATGTGGAACCACTATTTCGTCATCAATTCTGGGCGTTTATCCAACTAAGATTGGTGGTTGATACGTGCGGAGCAGCGAAAGCTCTCCTATTGGCTGGTCTTTCATTAGTGATCTCTTAGTAAACGGAACCGTCTTTATCAATTCAGAGAAAATGGACATTCCATACTACCTGACAGATATTGAGAAAAGTATTTATTATTGCTGTGGTAGCTGGGACCTTTGCAGATCTGTATATGCATCAGATACCGTGGGAGTCTTAAACCCTGAATTTGTTGAGTAGATCGCCTTCATCTTGGTACCAAACCTCGTGGGCTCATTTCCTCATTTTGTTTAGGTCCAATGACAATTAAATTTCTCTCAATCACTATGGTCATGTTTACCTAGCTCAGTTTTGTGAGGTTGTTTACCAACACCATCCCCACCCTTAGGTTCTGGCTATTCCAACACTTCACATCAGGTGTAATCGCAATCTCTCACAATTGGTCTCCAAATCTCTTTTCCAATCAGATAATCCTGGATTTCCATTGCGACACGAAATGCTATTCGTGGAAAGAGAAGTTCGTAGAGATTGCCCACTACGACTGGGGGGAGTTGTCTCTCCTCTCGTCTGGATTTGCCAACAACGTCTTCTGTACTTACTGCTGCGCTATTTCAACTCTTGTGACCCTGCTTTAGTGGGAGCTGAACTCGCCTCACGTGCCATATCCAGCACAGTCGCTATGGATCGGTGGTTGCATAATTCTCTGCACAATGCCCGATGGCCATCCAATCGGGGGCAGGTGTTGGTAGCGGGTTTGTGTATGCAATTGCGCTTCGACACGCGATCTGCCATCATATTGCGAAAGTAAGTGTCCGATCATCACTAACTCAATGATTCTCGTTCTATGTTTCGTTGATCTGTTTGCACAAACTCACCAGTTATGCACATCTTCGATTCAAATTTTCTTCTTCTACAGTTGCACTACTTCACTGGACCTGCGCTTTTATCGGCTGGTTTCGAATGATTTGGTGACTTGTCTTACCACCTGTTGGTCTTTTTTGACGGAGCTCAAATTAAATGGACATCACCATGGCCAGTTGTCCGTGCAAACGGTGGCGGGATTACACTGTATGTTTGTGCTTGCCTTATAATCTTTCTATGGTTTAATTTTACCTTCTTTTGCTGCACACCTCTCCTTTTTAGGTTTGTTTATCATGCTGTGTATTTGTTGTTGTTCATTAATCTGGCCACTTTCTGTGGTGACATCGAGGTGACTCGCTAGGACCTCAGTTGCTTTCGAAACTTTGACCATCGTTACACAGATGTTGAATGGTTAATAAGGGAATTCCTTTGGTTTAATGTGTGTGTTTACTGCTGTTGCTGACCAGTCCAACACTCACTGTACAGCATGCGGTGGTAACACTTATACTTACTTACTCAATACTTATTAGAACACCATCGCTTGAATACAGCGCCATTAGCCAGAACGATCACTCGGTTCTTGTGCCGTGTATCACGCGAAAAATGGGTGCTCGATTTCCCATCGAAGCGACTCGGGTAATTTAGTCGGCCAAAGGTTCCATCTCACAGTGTCGAGATCTACACGGACACCACACGAGTACTCGCGACTCCGGCAAAGAGAGAGAGAGAGAGAGAGACAATGACCATCAGCAAAGCACTGGCACCGCTCAAGCCAAAGGTTAACGCGGTCCGTACAGCCATAGCACTGGTGGTGGCGTAGTTGCCACTTGATAATGGGAAGAAGGCGGTTATCAGATGGACCCAATCACTACCATTGTAGCACTAAGGAGATATCGCAATCGGCGGCATGACAGCAGTGTCTCTTGGGTACGTCAGCGATAAGTGCCATCTGATAACGCGGTCACCGATAACGCACCAAGTAACAGTCCCATGGCAATAGGAATGGCCAAACTGGAGAACAGGAATGGCATCCGAGGCGGGTTTGTGGAACCATGAGGTGTTAACAACAACTTTCCCAGGAAGGTTCGTGTTCTCGATGTGGTAATGAGGTGAGTGAATTTCTTAAGTCCACAGTATTGCGGCTCGGCTGTGACGAATGGTAAGTGTTTTAAAAGTTGCTGCTGATTCGCCACACTCTGCATAGATTAGCAACACATAGGTGCTCTCATGATTGGCCCAATTGTAGCAGGAATCGTGGCAGCTAGGGAACAATCCCGAAAAGTTTCCTTTGTGTGGATGGATTGCGACACGCAGTCTTAATGTTGACCGCGATTCCTATTGAAGTGAACCTTGGTCTTTCGATCACGAGGACCGTAGCTGATGCAAATAGAAATTGTGTGTTACCCTCCTTGGTTCGATGCCTGCTAACTCTATCCGATGAGTGGTAATAACATCGAAACGCGTCATAGTAGTGCAGTATTTTCAGTCGGACAACACCGAATTTCTATTTGGAAAAGTTTCATTTTTGTCGGGGTATGCTTGCTAATTACTGGGAGGCGGGGAAATGATTACCAAAGAAATGACCTATCCCTGTTGAGACGATCAAACAAGTTCACTGCCAGGTTATAGCTGGCAAATCGAAAATGAAACTCCGACTGGATCCGCACTGATACACGTCTGCTATGCATTTCAGCAGTATTTCTCCTCGCCTCACTGCAAAAGTGCGCATGAAGGATAGGACATAACATTTTTAATTAATGGAGAGTTGATTGCAGCAGCATCCAAATCGAATAGTCTTCCATATGCCCGGAAAAGCAGTAGACCGTTTTCGACCCGTTAGGCCTCGTCAGTATTGCGCATCCATTGGCTTCACCGGGATCCGAACCCATGTCATCGAATTGGCCAGTCAGCAGCTTATGGCACTGGGTCATGGTGGATCCTCAGGATTAAGCAAATTCCCCACCCACTGCACGTCGTTGTTTGCAGTTGAGATGGGGCTGCTGGCCAATTGCGCAGGGAAGCAACGGTGAAGAGCGATGACTTGTGTGGCAGCGTGTACCCAGATAGTGTGCTAGATTTTCATTGGTTCAATCGTGGCGCCCTGATTGGCCAACTGTAAGGTGGAAGTGAACGTCGTTTCCTTATCCCAATAGCACGTGTTATCTGCATGTTAGCCATATCTTCGTCTCAAAGCTGTACTGATGCTCTATTGGTACTGAACCGTAAACGGCTGTGCGGAAATCAGGACAAAACAAGAGCAGGGATTCGAACTCCGGGAGCAAGACTGATGCATGAGCATCGCACCACGGAGTCCGGGATTTGCGAGTATCAGTACTAGTTAGACCCAATTACACGGTGGTCCACGCCCTAGTCACCATTCATGGCTGCAACCATCAATGGCCTCCTTTTTAGTGATAACCCCGTGGTCCCATTCCTCTCATTATTAAATCATAATAAAGGGTACATTCCTCGATAGTGCAAGCTACAGACCAACCAAGGGGCTGATGTATATGTACGTATTCTCAAATAATATGTGTTCGCCAATGCTATACATCTGAGGCGATGATTTCTCCATCTCTGTCTTTTGTTCAGTTCAACAGATAAATTGTATCCACTGCTGATCATCTCTGCCAGAACATCGCTGTAATTAGTGACGTATTCCTTGTTCATTACCAATGACCGGTACCTTCGCAGTTTGACTCATATATGTTGGGAACATCGTGGGAGCAATGAGGGTGTTCCATACCTTGTTTATGGTGCAAGAAGAAGAAGCGAATCGCTCAACACTGTTATTTCACGTTTTAGGCTGCGATGGCTGAGCCACCTGTTGCGCATGCCAGCCCACCGACTCTCGCGAGGTGCATTATTTGCGCACCGAGGGTGGGGATGGAAGAAGAGGAGGGATGGTCAAGCTCTGATCTGGGCAAAGGAAATGAAAACCCTTACTTCGAGGTGGGCCTCGGTGGGGGCCTCTCAACTCCCTGGTTGGGGACCGAAGGACGATGAGCATGTTTGGCTGGGTACACTTGTTGATATGGCTAGACGCCGAACTATAAATAAATAAATTGTATATTCCTCGGCGACGCGAGAAGCTGTTCCCTAGAAGGAACAGATCAAATAATGGTACAGATTTTCCAGGACATTTCATTAATACATTTTCAGAGATAAACATGGGCGCAATTGCAAATTAGGTAACACAGAGTAATCAGAATCCTTCTGCTATTTTTTCCTGCCATTGGCAGATATCTGTGCCGAGAAAATATGTAATGAAAGGGGCTATTGTCCGAAACGTTATGTGTATGTGTTTCGGAGATTTATCCAGGCACCATGGATACCCTTTTCGAATGTGTTATCTAAGGACTGTGATGTCCCGAACATCTTAGTCACGTTTTGAACGGTTAAATGCTGATTAATCGCAAGCTTAAAATTGCAAAGTTTATAGCATGTTCTGAGATCACTTGGAAGTTTGTTCCAAATCTTCGAGTATTGGGTTAAACAGTAACGTTCTCTGATTCTCGTAGTAAATTTTGAAACCATGACATTTACCTCTTTGTTACGTGTTGGGAATCTGCTGTTTAAAAATACGTGAACACCGTTTTCAAGTCTGCGAATCTGACAACTTATGATTCTGTAAATAGAACATAGGTTCAGCTTCATTATCCGAAGCCAAACTGGGTCAAATCCAAGTTTAGCACATCCATCTCAGTATGTAACTTTGAGGAATATCTACATAGCTTTTTAGTGAAGCGTCTCTGGACCCTTCCAAGAGCGTGCTGCTCAGATTCCCGCAGATTGGACTGTACCATTGAACGGTATTCCATACACGGCAAAACATACGTTTTGTAAAGCGATATCCGCGATTCTGTGAGGTAAAATGGATGGCAGATATAACCGGTGGTCTTCATGGCTTTCGAAACTTGAAAGTCACGGTGTTCAAAAAAGTTAGACGTGACCGAATATGGTACGCCAAATTCGCGAACTGCCCTGCATTGCGAGATATATGCGTTTTGTAGTAATAAACTGTCTGGCGGTACTTGACATTTGTATGACAAAATATTACACCTGTCCACGGCAAATGATATCTGCCACAGTTGACAATGGGAATCAAGGGCAGATGGATCATGCTGAATGAGACGTACGGCTTCCTGAGTATTTGCACGTGGTTGTGAGTAGACAACTTTAATGTCATCAGCAAAGCTAAATGTAACACCATAACTTATTCTCTGGAATATGTCGTTAATATAAATTAGAAAAAGAAGAGGACCAAGAACACTACCTTGAATCACTCCACTAGTGATTGCTTTCGGCTTAGAGAAATGGTCGCCTATGCGCACCACCTGCTGTCTATCAAATAGATATGAAGACAACCAAGAGAAAAGCGGTTCTCCAATGCCTGTAGCCTTCAGTTTGTTTATTAACATTCTGTGAGGCACTCTATCAAAGGCTTTTGCATATCCAGGAACAGGATTACGACACTGTTTCCGTTGTCAATGACAGTCCTTGTGTGTTTTAAAAGTCAGTCTGGCATGTTGCGCATGATCGACCTTGCATGAAGCCGTGTTGCGAATTGCTGATAATGTTAGCGTGGTTCAAGAATATAAATAGTTCATCTTTCACTATCCTTTCCATTATTATAAATACTATGAGTGTGTGATTGATGGGACGAAAGTTTTTAACTTCGTGAGCAGTGCCATTTTATGTCGCGGGATAGTGACAAAGGTTTTCCATTGTGTAGGGTATACTCCATTGTCCAAAGAAATTGTAGAGGTTGAGAAAAGGCAGAAGGAAGTCACTACCACTGCTTTTTATTAAACATGAGGGGATCCCATCAGGGCCTGCGCATGTTGAGGAGTATAAGCGAGAGACTTGATCAGTGATTTTCGCTTTGGTAAATGCCACTGTGCATAGACTTTCATTGTTGTGTGGTATGATAAGTGTTGGTGTGTCTGATGATTCATTGCGCATTGCTTCAGCAAAATAAGCAATGAAAGCTTCGCAGATATCACTTGGTGCGTCGTAGTATGTTCCATCAGGTGCGGTGATAATATTGAAATTGTCGCTGCAACGCGAACCCCGGGCATGAAATAGTTTGGCTAGCTCAGCTGTTTTGCTAGGGCCGCTCAGAGCTTTGCACTCTTCTAGAATGAGAGTTTTCTCACCTTGATGCCTTAGTCCTTCTACCAGCTTCGACTGCTCTAATAATAGCGCAAAGTCAGCAGTTAACCTGAATTTCTGCCGAATCTTATGAAGCACTCGTGCTGCCTTCAACGTCTTGCGATTGGATTTATGTTTAGTTTGGTAAGCACATTTAAGTGGTACTGCTGAATCTATGTAGAAGTCAATTGTACTATAAAACAGGTCCGTGGCATGTTGAGGACATGAAGAGAGAAAGAATTTATCCCAATTCATCGAACGAGCCAGGTTCTTGAAAGAGTCCCAGTTGACAGAACTGAACAGACGATAGTACATTGTGTTCTGTACATCGGCCATGCGTATTCTTAGGCGGCATTTGATCACGCGATGATCGATCCCCGGAAATTCATCAAGAACCTTAACACCATCCGTTACTGGTGACTCAGCCGGCGTGTCACAGTTTCATGCCATTTTTCTTTTGAATTGCAGCGCAATAGCTGAGGTATTTTCTACCAGCAGCTAACGTGTACAATGATGATGATGATGAATGCCCGTTTTGCTGACTGTTTCACGGTTATTCCCATACACAGATCTAGAAAATCTTCGCTCACTCTTTTTGGATGGACTTCAGGCGGTTTGTGATGAGAACATTTGTGATATCCTCGGTGAGTCCCGACTTGAACCAAACACCCTAACTTTGAATATTTGCCAGGTGTAGCTGTAGTGGCACCAACCGAGCCATCGCAGCACACCCCCTGGCACAAGGCGTATTGAGATAAGATAGGTGTGACGGCGTCATTCCATCAATGTACAACGAAATGTATTGTGCGATTTTCCATCATGGGAGCATTGCATTACTTCCACTCGCAGAACTCAGTTTTCCTTGTGAACGCTCATTGCAGTCCGAATTCCCTATCACTGCTCCTTTGCACCCAGGTCTACGACATTTGCGATTTCTCCACGTATCAGCCACCCGGGTGACAGATGATGGGTGGATTAAGGCCAGCCGACTTTTAAACCCCTCTGGTT